TAGTTATTTTAAATTCTTTTCTTGATAATTTGAGCATCTCTGTTATATCTGAGTGTGGGTCAAATGGTACTCTGTCTCCTCAAACTGTGTTTTTTCTTGATTTTTGGCACATTCTGTGAGTTTTTGTTGAAAGATGAGCATATTTTATTGGGTCATAGAAACTGGGTAAGTAGGCTTTTGGTGTGAGCGTTGATGTTATCTGGCTAGGAGCTTGGCTGTGTTCAATGTTCTCTGTGGCCATAAGTGCCAAAGACTTCAAATTCCCTTAGCATCCTTGTTTCTGTCTCCCCTGTAATCTTTGGGTTTCCCTAAGTATTTCTTTTCAGAGAGAGAGCATGTGTCTTATAGCAATGTAATCTGCTGCTATGCTGGGTGTCTGTTGGTGTATAGTATGGAGTGGGGAGAAAGGGAGCTTTCTATTAGCTTCTGATTAGACCTCAGCCTTCTAGTGACTTATTTCTCAATGCTGTAACCTTCACAAATGTTCATCCAGAGGTAATAATTCCACTTCTCACTGTGAAATACTAAAATACCTTTCATATACAGGTTAGAAAGTGTCAATATAATTGTAAGATAAAGAGATTTCAAGTAGTGCCACACACATTGTCACAAACTGGAAGTTCAAGGTCAGATTTTAGTTAGGGGACATAGTAGAGACAGGTGTTTATTGCGTATATAACCAACCTTACATTAGGCATTTTATAATTGCCACCTCAATCCCTACAACAATCATATGAAGAATTACAGTCTTTGGCAGAATTGGAAAAGAGTTTCAGAAAGTTCACATCACTTGACCTAAGTTGCATAGCTAAACTCATTTGAATCCCCAGCTGTGACCAAGATGACTTGAATGCCCATTTTCCCACTCTTACAGTTATTAGATGGAGTCATGGCTACTGCAGGAAAAACTACAGTCCCCAGTCTCACTAGCATCTGACCCAAATGTTTGAAGAGTGTTGTGTGGCTGCTTCTAGAAATATTCTTAAAAGACAAATTGATGGCTTTGTTTCTTTAGCCTTTGTTCCTTCCTACATTTGCTGCCTGGAAAGCGGCCATGATGGTGGCCATCTTGCTGATAATAATGGACAGAGCCCAGAAGGAGGAACAGCGGACATGGTTAGAAGTCCTGGGGGTGGGACATGATCTACACATTGAGGAATCCAAGGACAAAAACCTGACAAACATTAATAATTTGAGGAGTGGACAGCAGAACAGGCCCGTAGGCAGATGATACCAAGAACAAAGGCAGAGAGGTTAATATCAGTCCTAAGAAGTAAATAAGATGTGGAGTGAAATCTCCAGGAATCTTTTCAGAGAAATCGCTGTGACCCATTGGAGGTGGAAGCAGGATGGCTTAGGAACCAATGTGAGGAGAGGAGATGGACAAATTCCTCTAGGCTGTATTTTAGATGATGTTACCAATGAAGAGAGATTTGTTGGGATGGAGTGGGATGGAGGTTTTTGTAAAGTTAATTTATTTTTGCTAGTTTTCAGCTTCTCACAGTGTTTAGTGCACTGACAGGATGCAGGGAGCAGCTTGGAGGTGGAGATACTGAGGTGTGGGTGAAAAGCCCTGGAAAGTGCTGGAAGGAAAGTGCAAGCCACAGGGTCAACCAGAGCAGGGAGGTGAAGGCAGAAGGAAGTGCCTGTGAAGATATCAGTTTGGGTTGCTAAAGGAATTTGTCCTTATCAACTTCCATTTTCTTGGTGAGGTAAGAGAAGTTACCCTTGGGAAAGAGTGGGCGATGGGATGGGTTGTGGTGAACTTGAGAAGAAAGAAGCACAGAAAACCCGCCAGGGGAAAGAGAAGGAGTGAAGGGGGACAGATCTGCCTGGCTCTGAGTTGAGGCCCCATGGGCGATCAAGGCTAGCCCTTGGAAACTGCTAGGATGAAGACAATGTGAGGCCAACCAATGAAGCTCAAGCCCTGTAGCAGGAACTGAGGACATGGAGCTGAGGGGCCTTACCTCTACCATCACTGCTTTACTCAGTACTGGTCCAGAGGAAGGGGGTCCAGGTGCAAGGACACTCACAGTTACCATCTTAGAAGCAGACTTCCCAAGGGCTGAGCACCAATGATTGGTGCACTTGTTACTGGTTTGGTCTCCAAGTTGATAGCAAACTTATGAGGGAGGAAAAAAAAAAAAAAAAAGGAATACAGGCCACGAATGGCAATTTCAGTGGCTCAGCTGTGGCCTGTTCATAGCAGAAGGAAACTGTTCAGTAGCTTGGGAGGGAAGTGAGCCGGGATGTTTGAATAAATCCCAAATAGGCCACTATCCCAGAAATGAAGGTGTAGACACTGCCCTAAGAGTTCTTCACAAACTAGCTCTGCATGGGACATTTTGCCTCATGTCAGCTCTTGTTTACTGGCCCAAATTCTTGGTCATGTTTCTCTCAAGTGCTAACTCTTGGAGTTGCTATTAGGGTTTTTTGTTTTTGTTTTTTTCCAAACATCTGAGTCACTCTACCTCTAAGATTCTAAGTGACTTCATTTGACGAATCATGACTACCTCAGCCTTAGAACACTGAGGAGTGTAAAGATCATGTATAGCCTGGATTTCCTTTTCTATCATGGACTGTTTATATCTCCCCAAATTCATATAGTGAAGCCCTAGACCCGCAGTGTGGTGGTGTTTGGAGATGAGGCTTCAGGGAGGTAATTAAGGATAGATCCGGTCATGCGAGTGGGGCCCTCATGATGGGATTAGCGGCCTTACAGGAAGAGGAAGAGGGACATCTCCCTCTCTGCACCCACACGCAAAGGAAGGGCTGTGTGAGGACACAGAAGGAAGATATTCTCTGCAAGCCAGGGAGAGAGTTCTTACAGAAACAAATCACCTGACACCTTGATTTTGGACTTCCAGGCTCCAAAGCTGTAAGGCAATAAATTGTTGTCTCAGCTCCCCACCCCACAGTACTTTGTTGTGGCCTAATACTGCATCACAGTGTAAAAACCAAAGGAACAGAACAAGGGCGTGGTTGCACATTTGTATTCAGCCAAACTCCTTCTAATGTCAAGAATTCTTCTCGGTTCTTGAGCAGCAGGCTGACTCCTAGATGCCAGATCATGTCATTCTGGATGATCTTTAAGGCTTCCACATCTCAAGACTTGCTTAGGATCATGGCTTCATTAGGGCAAAACTTCAAGTGGAAACTGCTAGGAAACTGATGCGGAGAGCACTTGCTCCCCTTGGATGAAGTCACCTTGTTGTAGATTACCCTCTAGAACGCTGTAATTTACATGTGGTCTTTTCTCACAGAAGCTCTTCAAGTAAATCCAAATTTGTTTAGACAATTTCGTGGGTACTGTAAAACCACAATTGAATTTCAGGCCTTTGTAGTAGTCCAGCCAAGATGCACTCCAATTAGAAAAAATTGCCGTTAATGTTGTGACGATGTGGTGGCTGCCCACTGTGCCCCAGACCTTTGTTCTTGGAAATCCCTCGAGTCTCTTCTTTATTCTTCAGCTAAATAGACAGGCCCCTGGAATGTACGCTTTTGGAATTGTAATAGGGGAGCAATATTGTGCCTCTCTCTTAATTAACCTTGTTAACCAAGGATTTGGAACATTAGCTGGTTAGGCTAAGAGGGCCTTTTGAGCGGCTTGGTACACGTCTGCAGTTGAGTAGGATGTCACTCTTGTGAAATAAAATGTCTTTTATTCTTCAGCATACACCAAATACCTTCATTATTCCTTGAGTAATGGTGTGATATGCTTGTTTAGAGAAATAATGTGTGTTAGGGGCATCGATTTGTGCCAGGCACAATAAAACCTCAGCTATTACTTTTATTATTATAAAACAAGTTGTTGTTGTTGTTTTTTTTCCCCCCTCTCCCTCTTTTTGGAGGCTTTCTGCATGGACAGGAAACACAGGGGCAGAATTGTCAGAATCACTCAGGCAGCTCAAGCTAAATCAGTCCACAGTGGATTCCAGCTTCCATATTCCCTAAGGCCACTGCCTTTCTAAGAGCATCTTACCCCCAAGATATTCATGACTTGTTTCTTTTGACTCTCACAGAGTCTTCTGAGGTACTTCTCATCCTTTCCTGCTCCCCACACAAAAGAAGGTAAGAGACAAAGGCTCCTGTTTTTCTCGCAAGGCAGATGCCCCTCCCAGCCTGGGAAGGAGTTTCAGGGATATGGTAATTAACATATTTTTCTTAATCTTCCTTTTATAGTGAATCTCCAATCTCCAGTTGGCCAGTTCATTAAACTGTAAGCATACAATAGATCTGAAATGAAGGCATCACAGATGAATGCCAATTCATAGACCTGTCCATTCTGTGGAAAAATACAACACGAATCCCACCCTGAAATACTAAATGAAACATTTGAAATTGATCACATGAATATGTTTTCCAGTCCACTAGGCAGCAGTTCATCTAACTCAGTGGAATGTCATTTTCCGAATAAGAAGCCACCATTCTTTTATCTCTTCTAGGGAAAAAAAAAAAAATGCTCCTACATAGAATTTGGTCTAAAATCACTGCCTACTAAGTTCATTCAGGGAATGTGCAGGACACAGTGGCCCCTAACATACCCTGAGTGGGACTGGTATGTAGTCTGAGTACCTGGGACATGCAGAACGAAGGATTTGTATGGCTGGCTTTGGAAAGAAGGACATGGGACTCAAGGTGACAGGGAACCCTGAACTCTGTGTCCTTTGTATAGAGGGCATTCAAGCAAAATACTCATCCATCCTCTTCACTCCTCACTGTACTGCAGGTTCAAGCAAAGCCACCTCCTCCACTTGGGCCTTATCCCCAATGACCAAAGTGAAGGGCAGTTCGAGAGACAGGATTCATTTTCTTAACAAATCAGTAGCAAGCAGAAATGACAAAAATGGGCTCTTCTTTTTTTAACTAAACAACAACAACAACAACAACAACCAGAAAGCAGATAGGTTGAAAATAGTCCAGAGAGCAGAGAAAGAATGGTACTTGTAGTTTCCAGATACACTGTTGGACAAAAATGCTTTTCTTGAAATCAGGATTATGGAATGCTGGCTATCAGCCATTGAGTTGGTCTTTAGTTTTTCTTGTTCTTGCCAACAAAGGTGTCCATCATATTAAAAGCGCCCATATAGTCAGCCATAAGCACTGTCATCTTGGTAGGCAAGATACTAAAGAGAACACAAGAGACGTTTTCTTGGTTACTATCATGGAAGTGCCTCGGTCGAAATGCAGGGTCACTGACTTGCTGCAGATGGGAGTCACTGGCATGTGCACACATCAGTGTGCATGATTTAGGATCACTTGGGGCTTGTCCACTATATGGGGGGACCTGGCTCAGGGCCTTTATATCTCTTCCAGCTTTATTTACATTTACTCGACTCACTTCTCACATTGGTTTCCAAAGCTTCACTGCACTATATCATGATTGACAGGAAGCAGTGAAGTCTTGTGGAGTTGGATAAACCTGGCTTGAATCTTAGCTTTGTCACTTACAAACCATCCCAGGTCCATTACTTAACTCTTGAGCCTGTTTCTTCCGGAATCAAATGAAGTCCTCAGTCTCTGTTTCTGGGACTCCTGTGGGGATTAGATAGGTCCCAGGACCTTTGGCAAGACCTAACTAGGACCACTCATCTCCATGCCCGCTCACCCTTCCCAAGACAGCACAGACCCCATCCCTCCGACAGTCACAAGGCAGAGCAAGGGGAGGCACATTAAACCTAAGACTTGTCCTCAGAGTAGAGGAAAGGAAAGGACACTAAGCTCACTGTCCATCTGTGGGCTCCCTAGAATGTCGCATGTTACCTCATCCATGATCCCTCCCCTAAGCAACATACTGAACGTCCAAACTGAACTTGCATCACCACCTGCCTCCTACTCTTGGATTTCTCTTTCTTGCTTTGTTTCTTCCTAGAACTTATGACTACCCAGCATGCCTTTTCTTTTACTTAACTTTTTTGTCCGTTCCCTGCCACCCACCCCACAAGAAGAAAATTTCAATGAGGGCAAGGACTCTTTTCTCTCCTTCTTTGCCGTAACCCCAGGTCCTAGGATGATCAGCAATTTGTGGCACACATTAGGCACTCTCTAATGCTTACTGAATGAATATTTGAGGGAATGTGTGATGTCATCCCCTTTAACGAACTTCTTGTTTCCAAATACTTCTCAGGAACTATGTAGATCTCTCATATCTTATAAAAGTAAATATAACCTCTATGATTATTCAAAAACATTAGAAAAATTAAGTCCTCTGTTCTTTACACTTGGCATTACTATACCACATACTTCTATCGATTAGGCAACAGATAGCCACTGTCCTGTGAACGCCCACACTGTCCTATAAGTTGCGTGATGTTCACTAATCTACAAGCTCTAACAAGCAATGACTTCTAAATCGTAAACAAGAAACTGGACGGGAGAATAAAGGGCATGCTCAGAGTCACAAACTTAGTAAGCCGCAGGATCATAACACCAGATTTCAAAGTGCTTATCCAAGGTCCTTTGCCCTGCCTCCCAGAACCTGTTGGCTCTATCTCTCTTGTGCTAGGTGAAACCTGGTCTGTGAAAGGACATAGGAATGATTTTGGTGCGTTGTGCAAAGTAGATACAATTAACAGGAGAGAAAAAGGCATTTCCTTATGTAAGAAGGACAGTGGCTGCCAGCCATACTATCTATGTTCAAATAACTCAAGAACTGCTGTCAAGAGGGATGGAATTAGTCATAATGCTAAGGGCAAAGTTAGAGTCAGTGAACGTTAAAACGAGACAGATTTCAGCACCATGGAGGAAAGTGGTTCAAACACGGAATATGCTTCCTTGCAAAGCAGAAACCTCGATGGGTTGGGGGGTGCTGTATAATTAGATGACCTGTTCCAGTCCAGAAAACAAACTGAGATAGTGGGAATCTGCAGCTGCTCAGCAATTTGGCATCACCCTTCCTAGAACCAGGTCCCATGTTCACAGACTGCCGTGGATGGGTCTCAGCACTAAAATCCAAATGGGACTAGAGAGCGTAAGCAAAGATGCCCTTGGGTGTTTTCAAGAGGTGGTTATCTTTTTAGTCCCTGCCTCCAATGCTCTTAACCCTTTATACTTCAAATTTATCCTCTATTGCCAATTATACCCATACCACAACTTCCTGAAATGTTTGGCTTACTGTCTGCCCTTGATTCTGGGGATCTGTACTCAAGGAAGTGTGGACACGATATCTGTTCCAATGCAATTATTCTATGATACCCACAAGAAGACCATCTGTCCTAAAAAAGAAAAAAAAAATGACTTCAATCTGTCCACAGGTCATTCAGTAAATCCACTTCTCTCTGACAATAATGCAATACTAAGGTGGCTGGCAGGATCCAATTCCATCTTCTAGGCTATGCGAATTTGAGGTCATGTTGGCAGACAGACACAAGGAAGGGATCCAAGTGCATTCATTTAACAGGTATTTTTTAAAGTGGCTCCTCCTGTAAGGAGAATGAGTTATTGACTGGCTGGTTAGAGAAGTAATAGGAAGTAATAGGAATATGGTTACCTTTTTAAGAACAATAGGAAGGATATAAACTTTGGCACATTTAAGTATATTTTGTCTTTCAGGATGCCATCTACTATCTTGTCAGCTACATAGTCTGGTTCCAGAAGGGGTAACAGGAAAGGATGGCTAAGGAGTTAAGAAAAAAAAATGATTACTAAAAAAATCTTATAAATTAGGGATAAAAAAAGGCTGCAAACATTATCACTTATTTATTTCTTTCCCTTCCAGATATGATCGATTTCTCTCTTTATTCCTTTATTATCAACATGCTAGTGACAACTTAACTTTAAAATGGCAAATGATGCCTCTAATTAACACACTGATGATACAATATATGCATCTACATGAAACCATATTGAACAACTTCCTGTCATCTCCACAAGATGCAGAATTGGGAATTTGTGCCCCCCACCCCCATGATTTTCAGTCTTGCTGTGGAATCAGTCAGGGAAGAGTGCAGAATGGAGTTTGGTGGCAGAGAGAAACTACGGCCAGGAACGCTGGGGGGATGGTTAGCAGATCTGGCTACGGCGTGGGGTGAGCTGGACCCGGCCTTAATAAACCATCCCATTAAACCATTCCAATAAACCAAACCATTAATAAACTCAATGTCTTAATTGCAAACACATTTGAAGAAAGAAACAATTCTGAAATCACTTATAAATCAGGCTGAATCCTACGAAATACCTTTTTAAAACAACATTAATGAATAGAACAATATAAAATAGTCAATCATTTTTAAAAATGTCATTTCTTTGAAATCAAAGGACATACTTACGCAGTAGAACAACCTTCAAACATTCCAGTTTTTATAAAAAATGGGCACACAATAGTGGTTTTGATCCCCTTTAGTTTCTTGACTACTATTTCCATAAATACAGATTCAGCAAATCCAATGGCTGCAAATTTACTTGCACAGTAATCTGAAAAAGGCAAATACCGCCAATGTATATGCTAGAGTTTTTAAGCGGCATTACATCAAGCTTTCCTCATAAACAGGAATACACATGGAGAATTGGACAGTCATGTCAGAGTTCTTATTTTGTATGAGCTTGGTCTGGTCCACCGGAGGAAGTAAAGAATGAGTGGGGAGGAGCAGCGTCACCTAAAGGTCTGTTGACAAGGACCAAGTGCCCTCTGGGAGACGCAGGGCTTCGGGGAGCCCCCTGCGGGTCACCCTGCTAGACTTTACTTCTACCCTGATGAGAGGTCAGACACTGTGTGAACTGTTCCATGGAACGTGACATGTGTGTCCAGTCCCTGACCCAAAGAGTTTCAAGAGCATCAGGGCAGGGAGACACACAAAAGAAGAAATGAAATAATAAGGGATGTAGGAGTCCAGGCAAGAGAGATCACCATGGGTCAAGATACTCAGATCAAATTTTCTTCTAACTATTCTAACTATCTTCTAACTAAACTTCTAACTTTCTCTTTGCTGGAGAAAAACAGACTGGCAAACGTCAACATCTACTTCTTATCCATCTTGAGAATGCAGTGGGCGTGGGAAGTGGCATCAATGTCAGTTTTGAGTTTTCTGTCTACAATCACACTCACTCCAAGTGAACATCTGAATCTTGAACTCACAGAACACTTGGAGAAGAACTGGCATTTAGGTGGACTCTGACTCTCCTTTTCCTCACAAAGTCAGAAGAGGCAAATGAGCCATCCTTCCTCTGGGGAGAAGCAGCCACTACAACCGACAAGAGTCAGGTTCCTAGACTGCGGTGGATTAGACAGTAGAGGAAGGGAAGGGGAGAGGGGAGTCCCGAGCAGCTTCTAGGATCACCTGAGTCATGGGACATGAATGCAGCTCACTGAGCCCTTGCATCTCTGAAATTCAGATGAGCAGAAACAACCCGGACTCAGGCAATCTGCATTCTACATAGCACCCCCACTGATTATGAAGCAGGGGAGCCAAGACCCACACCATGGAAATTACAAAAGTCTTACACATGCTTCTAGGGTGAACAGGGCGTGGGAGAGTCTTGTATCCTAAGATATTGTGCCAGGAAAAGGATTCATAGGAACTACAAATAGACCAGCAGGAGTTCAGAGACCCACGAGGTCACAATAAAACCTAGTGAACTCTAAGAAGGATGGAGGAAGGGGAGTCCCGCTTTTGGGGAGATGTGTACACATGCATAACATTTGGGGTGACTGATGGTTCTGGGAACTCTATTCCCATAACTGAGCTGAACTGTGCTTACCATCTTGAGCTGTGAGTCTTCAACCAGTGGGTGAGCAGAGAGGTTAATTTTAGATTTCTTGGGCTGGAGAAACTTTCTCCAAATGCCCAGAAGAAGACCACTTAATGGAAATTTCAGAAGCCAGAGTGCTCCTCCTTATCATCCCAATAACAGTGCCAGGGGTCCCCCAGATGGTGACTATGCTAATCACTTGCATAAAAAGAATTTATCAGTAAGATCTCTCTTTTCCTCTTTAACTTTTATTTGTTTGTTTATTTATATGACAGAGAGCTAGAGAAAGAGAGAGGGAGAGTACATAAGCCAGTGGGGAGAGGCAGAGGGAGAAGCTGACTCCTGGCTGAGCAGGGAGCCTGATGCGGGACTGGATCCCAGGACTGTGGAATCACAATCTGAGCAGAAGGCAAACGCTTAACCCACTGAGCCACCCAGGCGGCGCTCTCTCTGTTTTTTTTTTTTTTTTAAAGCCCAGGAGATTACGCTGACTTAATCATTCTAAAAGGCATAGTTCAACTGCATGTAAGCAAATCTGACAGGCAGTTCTGCTGTACCATGTTCTCAACCACTTATCTTATTGAATATGTCTCGTAATTTATAACCCTTTATCATTGGTACCTCAAATCAGCGTTGATTGTTTAGGGATAACTAAGATCAAGTTATAAAACTTTTTGCAACTGCTAAATAATACGTTTCTCTTACCTGCCAGTTTATTCACTCCAATTAATCCAGCCATACTTGAAATGCAAACCAAATGTCCATGCTCATTAGCGATCATAGCAGGAAGAAAGGATTTGTAAGTCTAAGAAGAGCAAGAAAGAACTGTTAACAGTTTACACTGTTTTCAGATGTTTATATGATCGTTGTGATGAAAAGAGTCTTTTAAGCTCATCAAACTACCTGAAGGCACTGGGGTATAAAAAAATGTCAACATCTGGCAAGCAAGCCTCTTAGTTTGTTCAACCTGGCAAATCAGTATTTAATGATGGTGGTTCCAATATTGTTCAAAACAACTTATTTAGACTTATATTTCGTGTATATGTGACACATATTCCGACAAAATTCCAAAAACAATATTCCGACAATAATTCAAGCAGTATGGGAGAATCTTAACTATGGCAGGCACAAACCACACACCAGTGAGAGTACTGGAGATATGATAATTTAGATTTATATTGCCTTTTTTCACCTCTTGGATCATATTTGGATTTCAAATTTTTCTGGACGTTGTGCACCGGACATGCCACTATTGGCTTTGGTTTAAAAAATCACTCTGTTTTGAAGTTCATCTCTGCTTCTTTGATAATGGTTTCTAATTTCTATTCCATGTCAGCAGAGAGGATATGTTAGAATGGGTGTGTGCTGTGTCTCAGTAATATAGAGCACCTTTACCTTTGATGTGGGACCTGAAAAAAGAAGGTAAAGGAGAGAGAAATGAGTTTTGACAGAAGATATGTTCTACAACACAGAAATAACTCATTAGACAGGAATACTTGCATATTTCAATGAATTTCTATTTCATATTTGTTTTCACACTTGAATCATATGAGTAAATATGAGAAAAGGGATCTCTTATAGAAGTCAAATGACGTTTGCGTGCATCACAATGACTTTCCAAGAGAAACTAACACTTAGAGGCAGAAAATCAAAGCGAGCCCACAGCGAAGCATAATGAAAAGCTCCCTGAGTTCTGATGGTCTGAGGTCTCTTTACTTCTCCCTGGGGACGCATCCCTTGGGAGCATGACCACCAGAAGCCCTCTGACCCACTAGCAATTAAGTGCCTACTCTATGCAGGGGCTCAAAGAACGTATGCAGACTTGCCTAGAAAGACAATTAGAGGAAGAGAGAGAAAGCAGGGAAAGAAGAGACCCAGGAAGAAAAAGAACGCAACAGAAGTGGAGACTATGAATGAGATGATGGTTTTATTTTCATTCTGGCCCAAGAATCTAACTTCATTCTAACAAAGGAGAGGGATATTTGGGACAAGAACACATAAATCACTTGCAGTAGCTCCCAAAGGAACACAGTGCTCACTGAGTTCAGAATCTTTCCATCTTTCTCCTGAAAACAATACAGAACACCAACAATACCACCAGTGCCAGGACACTTTTGGTGAAACTAGGTGAAAGAAACCGACAAAGTCCAAATAACATTTGAAGGCTGCCAATGATGGTAGGGCAGGGAGTCTGTTGGGGAGGTGTAAGGAGGATGGAGGGAGCTCAGAAGTCTCCAGCAAATACACCCTCCCAGCAGAGAGCCACCCGGGCAGTGGAGCAAAGAGAGGCAATGGGGGGCATGCCTGTGGATGGGGAGGTGTGGCAAGACTAGGTTCAGCAAAAGCTAGGAAAACCCAAATTCTGCAAGGGGCACATCATATTAGAAGTCAGGGGCTATGATCCTTAATGCCCATGGCACCTTCCTGTGCCCTTTAATGTCACCCAGGCTACTGGTAGAGACTCTCTTTTCCTTGATTAGATACTGAGTGAGGTGACTGCACATCTTGGTTTGCCCAGAATAGACCTGATTAATGCTTGTTTATTAATAATGCTCTCTTTCACTTTCTCTTTTTAATCATCATTATTATTATTTTTTATCTTTTCCATTTTCAAAAGGGTTCCAGTTTTGGGAAATTATAAGGTCACCTTGGTCAAATTTATGTGATATCATTTCTGTGTAGCCTTGAGCAAATCTTTTAACTCCTCTGATCCCTTATTTCACTGAGCTGTTTCAATGATTATACAGGAAGTGCCTAGGACAGCACCTGATATAATCAATAAATGACAGTAAAACCATAGGACAGTTGTCTTTTTGCAGGATTCCTGAGCAAAGGCTCACGCAGGTATAGGTTAAGTTGGATCCAGGGTGGGGGAGGGGGAGCATCAGGGTCAACCAGGAGAAATCTGAAATTGAAAAGTCCGTGCTTTAGTTAGAGGTGAATAAAATTGTAAGAAAACAAGAGGAAGGTACTTCTAAATTCAGAGTAACTTTAGATTTATTATGAGAAGAAAAAATAATTACCCATAAATGTGCTTTAAAATTCACATTGAAAGACTTTTCTATCAACTCATCTGGGCAGTCGAGGAAACTTTGGCCTGTCACGACTCCGGCATTGTTGATTAGGATGGAGACATCGCCAACTTCTTTTTTAACCTGCATTGAATAACAAGAGCAATACACCACCCATGGAGTAATTCTTTACATGATCTAAGCTTAAATTTCCATAGTTTTACAGGCTTCTTATCCTAGTTAACTCAGACGGAGGTTATGTACTCTGCAAAGTATGCTTTATTTCCTCTGCTGAGTGTACGGTGCATCAGAGATCCACGTCTGATGCTTTTCTTCTCAGTTCTTCCCCCCTTCCTAGGAGGTTCCAACGCTGCAGGGCTACTTTCCTTAACAGAGCAGTTAGAGACAATCTAGTCCCTTTTTCAGGCTCCATGTAAGTAGTAGGTTATTTCAATCACTGAGATAGGCATTATAGTCATGTGATATAAATCAAGACCCAGCACACACTGAGATGGGGTGGAGCAGGAAGGCACAGAGGAAGCATGACATTTCTAAACAGGTTTTATGCACATGCCACAGCTCAAAACCTGTCTGTCCTGCTTATACCAACTAGCTGGCTTTCATCCCCCTACCACAGGCTTCTAGGTATTAAGATATGTGAAGGGAGGATTAGAGTAAGCCCCATTTGCTGCTGTAATGCTGGCCAGAGTAGGTACTCCATAACTTGTATTTAAGAAATATAATTTCTGCATGGGACCTTGGAGCCTTTCACTTATAGTAAATCTTTAGCTTGTAATCTTGGCTATTATGGCAGAAGTGAGTGCAGGATTTTTCAGGATTGGTGACACAAGATGGTGGTATCCCTTTGTTCCTTTCTGTGCTTGGAATTCCATTCCTGTAATTTGTATCCCAAGCAGGGGCTCTGCTCCCCTGATCAGAGAGAACCCTGGTTGCAGTTGCCCTGTGCTGAACAGGAAGCTCACAGCAGTACCCCTTACAATGCTAGCTGTGTGTGTGTGTGCCTATGTGTGTGTGTGTACAGCTCTCTACATGGATGGCACATTCTGGCACAGAGCAGGATGTATTACTGAAGCCAGGTGGAAGCTACCACCTCATCCACTGCTCTGGAAGGCCTGAGCCCCAGCAATGAGGGTGACATGGTAGGGATTTCTGAGCCAACCAGAGTGGCAGTCTAGGGAAAACTGAGGATGAAATAAATAGGACCAAGGAAACCTCACCTTATGGTAGCATTTTCAGATAAAAGCACTGGAAACAGATCTGACTTAAAGTTTTATTTGGAGAGTGGGTAAAATATTTAGTCAATTTCAAGCTGAACAAAAGTCAAGGCTAGAAACAACTAGCCCTACCTAAGGCAAAACTGGATACAGGCTTCTGGTTACAGGATGAATAAATCACGGGAATAAAAGGCACATCACGAAGAACATAGTCAGTGGTACCCTTGTGTGATGGCAGAGGGTAGCTCCACCTGTGGTGAGAATACCCTAGCACATAGAGTTGTTAAATCACCACGATGTATGCCTGAAGCTAATATAATATTGTGTGTCAACTATACTCAAATGGAAAAAAAAAAAAAAAAGCTGGACAGGGCTGTGAACTGGAAGCCATTAGGATATTAGCTCATAGCCTTGCTCAGAGTCAGGGATGGCAAAGCCAGAAGTTACATCTCAGAGAAATAAACAGATATGTGTGTCCACTGCCCCCTCTCACCTGAATAAAGCATGTTATCATATACTTGACAAAATTAACATCAGACTTTAATTTCAAAATGGCACCTGGTTTCATTATCTGTGGCTTGTGTCTTTGCAGTATATGAATACTGTATCTTTATGAATCATACCTTAAATGTACTGGGCTAAGCACTTGTGATAAGATTTTTCATGTGAATAATCTTTCTTCCCATTGCTTTATCTGTTTTGTATATAGGTTTATATTGCTTTATCTGTTTTATATATAGGTTTATCTTTTCCTTTTTTTTAAAATGAGGATTATCTTGCTCAAAAGTCTGCTTTTGCCTTTTAAATTAGCTTGGAAAGACATCATGAGTATTCAGCCTCCACCACATTAGGGGGAAAAAAAAAGATCAGCTTTAATTGTATGAGACATATATTTAAGTATTACTGACCAATGATAACCCAATAAAATGAGAGTAAGCTTGTTTGCATTGTGTTGTTTTATAAGAGACACAGGGTAACAGCTAAGGGAAAATACAACAGACTAGTTTTCTTTTTTTGCATTCATTATTCTCCTCATTGTAAGAATGTGGCAACAGTGTGTTCAACCCTGGATGACAAGTCTAGTGAGACTCCCACATAAGCTGGGCCTGCCTGCTGGTGGGGATTTCTCTACAAACAACCCAGCTATAATAAAAGCCAGAAGACTGGGCACCTGCGTGGCCCAGTCGATTTGTGTCTGCCTTCAGCTAAGATCATGATCTCAGGGTCCTGGATCAAGTCCTACATGAGGCTCATTGCTCAGCAGGAATCTGTTTCTCCCTCTCCCTCTGCCTGCTACTCTCCCTGCTTGTGCTTTCCCCTGCTCTCTCTGATAAATATATAAATAAAATCTTAAAAACAAAAAAAAAGAAAAGAAAAGAAGGAAAAGCCAGAAGATCGTGCAAGTCAGTGTCTCACTTTAAACTGTCCAAGATGGCTGATATGAACTTCCCAACCAGTACTCATTAGTGGTGGTGGGCAATAAAGAAAAGTCTGCTTCTACTAGTGATGACATAGTTTAAAAGATGAAATGATCCTGAAATTTGACCTTGAACATCAGGAAGCAGAAATAAACCTTATGGAATTCTCATAGATGTCACAAAGAGCGCCCCCCGCCCCCGCCGCTGTTGAACCAATGCAGTCAATTGATTCTGATTTGACTTATCTAAGGGATCAGTCATTAAATGTAGTCAGGACACTTCTACATGCCTCAGCAAAGGTAAGCAACCATGATACAGCCCCACTCTCATCATGTGTTTATTGTTTAAAATAATCGCTTACCTAGGTTGCCAAGTAGCAAAGGCTACGCTTTCTGAACTTAGTGCCAACTATAATCTGAGGACACTAGCTTTCAAAGTTCTTGGGGTCTGTGGAGATGACACAATGTCATACCAATCTGAAACCTTTCATCATGATCACTGCTCTCTGGAATACTTTTAGAAAATCCTTTGGTATCTTTCCTCTCTCCAGAGAGAGGTTTATGAGTGGAGAGTAGTTTGCTTCCCCTGAATTCCGAAGAGCACATAATCAATTCTTTTTAAGACCCATAAGTAAGAAAAGCTGAAAAATGAACTGCTAATATGTACCATTTGATCATTTCTGAACTAAGCATGTTGGTCAGAACTAAGCCACAGATACGGGGAAGAGGTGGTTATTTATAGAGTGCCTCGTATTAGCTTGCTCAGTATTGGATGGTCTTCAGTATGTGAATATGAACCGAAGATTGCTTAAGAGTGGCTACAGAAGTTGTTTGCAGTCAGCATGAGGAGACATGCCAGGTGATCATCGCTGTAAGTGCATAGACATTCATCTGTGAGGTTGGCACTTTGAGGGAGGCACTAGCTTGTCAGGTTGGGGTCTCCAGACTGTATGGGGCTGCGTGGGACTGGAGATGGTAGTCACAGATGTATAGAATTTAAAGACAAATTTCAACAGAAGCTACACACTCACCTGCCAATGACTTGCCAATCTTACCACTAAGAAGTAAGGTGGGAAACAGCAAGGGGATTTGAGGTAGGGGCTAGAAGCTGTGCAAGAACTTTCCAATGGGGCTGGGCTGCTCTTTGCAGGCCAGTCTGGTTCCTACTTTCTTGCTAAATTGGGGAATTCTGGGGGCCGCCAAAAAGGTGGCCCAGGAGAGTGATATGCGGAGTACTCATGTCGATGCGGGTATAAAGAAAAACCTTATGAGGGAAAAGAGGCAGCAAACAAGTACCTGCCTCAATGAACAACAATAACAACAAAAAACCTCTTACCACTGCTTACTGGGGTTTTGATTTCCTGAAAGTCTTCTTTAAATGCACAGCTGTATCATCACCAAAGGAGCAACTGTGGTTAAGCACCATTAGGATGAATGAAATATTCTGATTTTCTTATGATTACTTAAGAGAAATACACATTCAAATGAAAGGCACTGTGGTGTGGTAGAAATAGGGGAGTTTCAGCTCAGACCGGATATGGGTTCAAGCCCTGGCTTAGTCAAAGGCTAGCTCTGGGACCACTGAGCAGATTATTCAATATCTCTATGTCTCCTTTCTCCTTCAATAAGAGGGCCACTCTCTACCTCCTATACTGTAACACAGTCTGTACCACCTGGTTGGCAGGGCCAAGTGTGTACTATGGAGTCAACAGACTCAAGGTTGAGCCAGATCTTTGCTACTTAGTACCTGTTCCTTAGGGGAGCTACTTACCTCCCTAAGCCTTGGTTTTCTTATTTGTGAAATGGAGACAGTCATGGACCTCACTTTATAGGATTAGGATACAATACAGCTGGGGTGTTTCATGTGGTGTATGGTATACAATGACAACTCACAAATCCTAATTCTCACTCCTCAAAACTTTTTCAATTAAAGGGAAGTTGGAGACAGGCAAAGCTGCACTGAGCAAGGCAAAGGGACAGAGAAACGGAGGCACGTGAGTGTATCTGTGTACAGGGCTTACTACCCGCAGGGAACAGCAAGCAAGGCAAAAGGACAGAGAAATGGAGGCACGTGAGTGTATCCGTGAACGGGGCTTACTACCCACAGGGAACAGCAAGACACAAGATCTACCTGCTTGGCCACTCTGTATATGTTTTCCTTTTGGCTGCAGTCGCAAGTGTAGGCATAAACTCTCGTGGCTCCAGCTTCCCGCACCATCCTGCACGTTTCCTCGTTCCCCTCCTTGTTGATATCCCAGAGAACCAGCACGGATCCAAGGCGGGCAAATCGGAGGGCCAAGAGCCTTCCCAGTCCGCTCCCAGCTCCAGTGATGAGCACGATTTCACCAGCAACATTCTTCCGTGGTTTGGGGATGATGGTGAAAATCAAAAGCTCCACAAAAGCAATCATCGATTTTCCTAAGAAAACAATCAATTCCTTGGATGACTTCAGGCTGGAAGCCATGTCGTGGATGAGACCTGTAAAGGAAGAGAGACCCACATAAAGCCATCCGTGACCACTCCCTCTGAGTGTGTGGACTACATGGAGCTCATGTTTTCTGAGATAGCAGCAGAAACTGGGATGTGTTATTTAAGCTTCTATCTTAGTAGCAGACTCTGAACTTAGACACAGGGACTGTGTCTTGGCCAACTTTCATTCACAGAACCAAGCTGGGTCCACATCTGAGTAGGACAGGAAAGAATGTTCCCTAACCAGGAACTGTAACCACACCAATATTTGACCTGAAGGAGAAGTTAATTCTTTCTCACAGTTAACCTTTCTTCATAATAATCCCAAGTCCCGCTGACTGCTTTTATGTTCAAAGTCATAACTATATTGTAATGTTTATGTGGTAACTGCTACCTTTCTGGTTTTACTTTTGCCTCCTTTTGGGTTTGTATTGGTATTATTTTTTTAAAGACTTATTTATGGGGGGGGGCATACATGGGGGGCTGGTGCAGAATTTGGAAGGAAGGTGTCCTGAAGGGCAAGTGGTGATTTTCAGATTCTCATTTTAAGCTCAACTGTGGGGTGTGTGTCTTCAGATCTGCAAGGATGAGGGTCAGCCGTCCCACAATAATGGAACACCCTGGATACCCTCCCCAGGCAGCAGGCTGGGCACTGTCAACACTCCTTTCACGAGAGGACTCACACCAACTCAACCAACCATGCCCCCTTTCAGGCACACCACTATGAGAGTCCATGCCAGAGAGAGGCAGGCAGAGAGAGAGAGGGGGAGGAAGCAGGCTCCCTGCAGAGTAGAGAGGCCGCCGCGGGGCTCGATCCCAGGACCCCGGGATCATGACCTGAGCGGAAGGCGGAGGCGTTAACCCCACTGAGCCACCCAGGCGCCCCAGGGAGAGAGTTCTATTTCTCTCCTCAGTGGGCTCCAACACCATATGGTGGCTAGAAGTTTCACCACTGACCTGGGGAAAGGTTCTTAATGCCAGAGGCCCCAAACTTCAGATTCCATGGTTCAGTGTTGGCATGATGTAAGACCTAGAGCAAGGTCTTAACCACTTATCGCTGTCTGGGCAGCTGCTTATTAAGTTCTCAAGAGCTTGGCATCCTGAGGTCTCTCTCATTTGGGGTTTAGGGTGTCTGCTGAGTATCTGCACAGGTAGTGCGGTGTAGAGATTAAAGTTTGGGTTGGAATTCTGGATCTGCCACTGACTTTTCTGCAGACTTGGTTAAAATATTTTATCTTTTGTGCCTCAGTTTCCTCTTCTAAATAAGGGGATTCTGCAGGATACACCAATCGGGGAGCTGTGGAAGTTAAAACTTAATACAGGTAAAGTGTTAAGGTGTGTAATACTGTCCCTAAGATCCCTTATGAAATCTCTGAGCAAATTGGTGGTGGGGCAAAGGTTCTCATTGCCCTGAACACAGCTCCTCCTTCCAGGGTGTATAGGGTGGGGGTGGGGCAAGAGGAGTTGGGCTGGATTTCAGCACCTGCCAAGTTACATATCACCTCTGTCTCCACTCCTAATGCCCATAATGTGGGGGCCTTCCTAGAACAATGCCAGGCCCACAACAGCAAAATGACTGGACTGGCTAGAGCTATGACTGGTGCTCCTGCTAGCATATAAATTAGATCCCTGCCCATAGCAAGGAAAGATGGTAACAGTAAGTATACTTACAAACAAAAGTAAATGTAAGGTTCCGTTTTAGTGTAAAGACTCTGTCTTAGGAAGTTACAGAGCACATTAAATTTAATCAGGTTACACACTTTGGTGTGTAAAGGGCCTGACTACTTAGTTCAAAAGCTGAAATAATTTGGGGCACCTGACTGGCTCAGTCGGGAGAGCAGCAACTCTCGATCTCAGAGTCGTGAGTTCAAGCCCCATGTTGGGCATAGAGCTTACTTCGGGGGGAAAAAAAATGCTGAACTAACTTGATGCAATGTAAACATGTCTTCTGCCTCCCATGCCAGGACGGAGCAAGCTGCCCTGGTGAGAGGTATGTGATGAACTGCGGACGGTGGGGAGAGAGTGGTAGACGCGCTGGGCAGCAGAGAGCAGCGTGGCGCTCTCGCCCGCTCACTCCCAGCCTCAGGGCCGGGGCTCACCGGCCCGCGCCCTCTCTCGCAACGCCACCCTCCCCCCTTCCTCAGGCCACCCCGTCACAGCTTTACCGCCGGCAGGCGGGTGGCTGGCTGGACGCCGAGCCACGGGCGCCTCGGAGGGGTGCAGCGCCACCTCCTCACGGAGGTCTCGTCCGGCCCCGGGTCTGGACTTCGGGAACTCACCCGGGACACGCAGCCCTCGCGATCAGTCGACAAGCAGTAGTCTGGCACCGGCGCCGCGTCGCAAGCTCCCGGCTGCGCGAGGTTCCGGAGTTTGTCTCGGCGTCTGCCCCAGGCCAAGTCCGAGGTGGGGACGGCTCCGCCCTCGCACTGGGTGGAGCCACCTTGGGGCCCCGCCTTGGGGCTCCCTTGACTCGGCTTTTCTTTTCTTTTCCTTCCTTCCTTCCCTCCTTTCTTCACTCCCTCCCTCCTTTCCTTTCTTCCTTCCTCCCTCCTTCCTTCCCTCCCTCCCTTCCTTCTTTCCTTCATTCCTTCCTTCCTTCCCTCCTTTCTTCACTCCCTCCCTCCTTTCCTTTCTTCCTTCCTCCCTCCTTCCTTCCCTCCCTCCCTTCCTTCTTTCCTTCCTTCCTTCCTTCCTCCCTTCCTTCCCCCCCCCCCCCCCTTCCTCTTTTTCCCCCAGGCTGCCAGTTATAGAGGCTGGACATTCGATCGCTATAGCTGGACGCACACGGTTCGAATACAAGAATCAACCCTGGATGTTGAAAAATCCTGAAAAATCCTGAAACCTGGAGGGGTAGGGCCAGTGGGAACCCTTGTGTTAGAGACCAAAAAGGAGGCAGGTGCAGGAGTCCTTGGGTGGGCGGCAGGGAGTGCGCAGGGAGCCGGGTCAGTTCTCAGCAGCGTGCAGAGCAGGGCAGGAGTTCCCCAGCAGAATCTGACTCCTGTAGTTGGGATCAAGGTCAACAACAGCTTCCCTGGCCCAATGGCTGTAAAGAGTGTGAGTGTGGGACTTCTTGGAAGGAAGGTGGGGTGCTGGGCAGGAGTGGGTGCGGCACTGGCGGGAGACCAAGAAGTAAGAGAGGGAGAGGTTTGTTCTAAGGAGATGAGGTGGAGAAAAAGTCAACAACATACTCTGGTCCAGTCAGTGTTCACTGAACACCTCTGTGTACCAAGACCTAGACAGTATAACAATGGTATAGCTGTCAAAAAAAATGTTCAGTCAACATTAGCTAATCCTCTAATATAGAATAAGTCATTGCTGAAATGCTTATTATATAGGGTGGAGTTTGTTGGGTGATATAAGAAGCTGAAATATCCATAAATTACAGAGTGCTGAAGGAAAACCAGCAAGTCAGGACAAGACTGTGTTTGGAATTGACTCAGGGTTGTGTCAGACACACACAAGTGGTGAAACCTCGAGGGAGAGCAGGTTAGCCAATTTTTGTGTGAGGAACTAAACATTCCTTCTTTATTTGGCCATGAGAAGAAACAGGTGGGTTGTATAAGTCTGGAAAAGCCAGTGCAATGAAGAGCTGTGAAGGTCATTTTGGTGCATTACGGGTGTTCTGTAGGGAGTGGTGAGCTGTGCAAAGTGCATAGTTGTGATGTCTGAAGGTGAATGAGGCAGGTGAGTGTGGACGGGTTTCAGCTCAGCAGTCATTGCCTACCGGCATGTGTTGTGCCGGGCAAGTGCTGTACCCAGCTTGGTGTTTGGCTCTGGAGCACTGCAGAGCTTTGGGGAGCTGGGTGGGGGAGGTGAAGGGGGCACATCCATGGACTGCACATGTGTGGATGTTAGTGTCAAAAGTACAGAAATAACAGACATAAGACCAGTGAATCAAGGAACTAGTTGTCAGTGAAAGTTTATGGCGCACACCAGAAAGTTTGCAGACTGGGAATGCTCAAACCAAAACCTGGAATGAGTCTCATATTAAAGCAGCTTATATAGTGAGACGGCAGTGACTACTCTTCACTGAGATTGGTTATAATATTAGAATTTTCTTAAATGATAGGAAATTGGTCAGTGGTTACCACCTATCGACCTTGGGAAACAGTTGCAAGTTTTGTCAGAGGGATAAGCAAGAAACAGCTCAGGTCAAGTTAGTCTTATAAAATAAGCTAAATTAAACTTTGCTCTTATGACTCAACTGGCTTTGTCTGCTCCGAATTTTCAAGGCTCATCCTGTTTTCTTGGTTTGTTTTGTTTTTAATTTTCACAATAGACATGCACCTCCGTGCCTGGGGTGCATAGAATAGGGGCCTCTAACCAGCCTGCATCATGAGGAGAGGTAACTGGAAAGGTCTTTCAGATTTTGGAGATGGAATGGGCCAAGGTGGGGAGGTGAGCAACACCTGGGAGTGGTAGTGAATTCTGGCGCAGAATAGTCTGTCCTGGCTCCAGCTCACATCACCTGGCTGCAAGAGGTCAGATGGGTGGCCAGTGGAAAACACCAGCCCATGAACTCTTCATGTTTTCTTTGAGTGAAGTTCTGAGCTGCTACTTTTCTTTCTAATGAGAAGGTCAGAGTAGAACTCAGGAAAGAAATCTCAAGCATTATTAGAAATCCTGTTAAAACAAAGTATGAATGTAAAACAGTGGCAATTTCATAAATGATGTCATTAAGGAAAATATAAGCCTTGGTGTTTGGAGAAGACCCCAATTTGACTTGAAGTAGGGGAAACTCAGCAGGTTGACTATGATCCTGAAAGATAAGAATGTATTCTTATCTTTTTTTAAGATTTTATTTATTTGAGAGAGAGAGAGAGAGAGAGACAGCGCAAGTGAGCAAAGAGGGAGAAGCAGGCTCCCCGCTGAGCAGGAAGTCTTACTCAGGACACAATTCCAGGACCCTGGGATCATGACCTCAGCTGAAGGTAGACGCTTAACTGAGTGAGCCACCCAGGCACCCCAAGAAAACATTTTTAAAAGGTCTTTTGTGGCAAAGGCTGGGAAAAGCCTATGTAATGACTGAAGTTGTAGACTAGGCTGATGAACATAGGAAAGAAAACACGCTCTAACTTTATTCTTAGGGAAATGAGTAGTAAAGTGTTTCTTGCCTTACAAAGTGACAAATATTAGAAAAAAAAGAGCATGTCTTCGTAAGGGAGTGGTGTAATTTATACATTGCTGAAGAGCAAGTATGTATTGAGAGCTAGAAAGGTTTATACCCTCTCACCTAGTTCCACCAATGGGACTTTATATTTAGAAAATAATCAGGTGTCATTTGTTGACTTCAGGAAGGGAAACTGGTCAGTGGGAGTCATGGGTTGGAAGGGAGACTTTTGACTGTATTGAATCATGCATTACTCTTTTGGGGAATAAGCAGGTTAATAAAAACAAACATCATTATTTTCTAACAAATATGCACAGATGGAGGGCTCTACAACCATTTTTTATAAAATCATATTTTTAAGGGTATATAGGAAAATACTTTTACATAATGTTAGTTTAAAAAGCATCGTATAAGACTGAGGTGGCTGGGTGGCTCAGTCAGTTAAGCATCTTCCTTTGGCTCAGGTCAGGATCAGGTCCTGGGATGGCAGAGCCCCATGTTGGGCACGCTGCTCAGAGGGGAGTCTGCTTCTCTATCTCTCTCTGCCCCTCCCCTTGCTCCTCTCTCTCTCACTCTCTGTCAAATGAGTATATAAAATCTTTAAAACTAACTAACTTACTAAATAAATAAAAACATAGTATAAGAATAAATATATATGATCCAGTTTTTCTGATAGTCTTCATTAGAATGCATTAGAAATGCTGGAAGTAAATACACCAATGTCTTAGCATTTTTTTCTTTTCAAATAGATGAACTTTTTTCTTTGTGTCTTTTTGTATTTTCCAAACTTCCCATTATGTACATATTTGTATTTCCAAATAAAAATGTTTCTTAGAGTATACAGATATACAGACATCTTCATGTAAGCTGGTAGACTGAGTATATGCATTTATATCCTGTTTTTTCCCCAAAATTCCATTGAAAGGGAAGATACTGTATAGCAATGTAAAATGACACACAATAGAGTAGGAGAAAATATGTTCACATAAAGAATTGATAATAAGCCATATTTTATAGCATTTCTATAAACTGATTTGAGTAAGGCAGTAGGAAAAACAGGTAAAGAAATGCCGAGGCAATATATATAATGAAATATTACTCAGCCATAAAAAAGAATGGAACCTTGGGGTACCTGGATGGCTCAGTCGTTAAGCATCTGCCTTTGGCTCAGGTTGTAATTCCAGGGTCTTGGGATCAAGCCCTGTGTTAGGTTCCTTGCTCAATGGGAAGCCTGCTTCTCCCTCTCCCACTCCCCCTGCTTGTGTTCCCTCTCTCGCTGTCTCTTTCTCTGTTAAATAAATAAATAAAATAAAAAGAATGAAGTCTTGCCATTTGCAATGATCTGGATGGATCTAGGGAGTATAATGCTAAGCCAAATAAGTCAGTCAGAGAAAGACAAATACCATATGAATTCATTCATACATGGAATTTAAGAAACAAAACAAATGAGAACAGGGGGAAAAAAGAGGAGAGACAGATCAAGAAACAGACTCTTTTTAAAAAGATTTTATTTATTTATTTAGAGAGTACATGCATTAGTGGGAGGAGGGGCAGAGGGAGAGGGAGAGAGAGAGAACCTCAAGCAGACTCCCACCTAAGCATGGAGTCCAATACAGGGCTCTATCTCGCAACTCCAAGATTATAACCTGAGCTGGAAACAAGGGGTGGAAGCTCAATTGATTGAGCCACCCAGGCACCCCAGATTCTTAATCATAGAGAACAAACAGAAGTTACCAGAGGGGAGGTGGGTGGGTGGATGGGTTAAAGAGGTAGTGGAGATTAAGGAGGGCATTTGCTGTCATGAGCACCAAGTGATACATGGAAAAGTTGAAGCACTATATTGTACACCTGAAACTAATACTATACTATATGTTAACTAACTGGAATTAAACTTAAAACTTAGAAAAGAAACGCACAGACAATTCATAGGCAAATAAATACAAATGACTCTGAAAAGATCCTAAATTTCCCTGATATTCAGGAAAATGCAAATTAAGTTGGAATATTATTTTTATTTATCCATTAATACTGAGACATTAAAAAGTTAGATTAAAATTCAGGAATGGTGAACACGTGAGAACACAGGCATTCTCATGTATTGTGCGTGGGAGTATAAACTGGCCCATCCTTTATGCAAAGCAATTGGGCAGTAACCATCATGCCTTGTGATGCTTCTCCTCCAAGTCTAGGAATCAATGAAGCTTGTTTGCAAT